GTTTATCATTATTAGATAAATTACAACAAAATTGTTCACATCATACAATTGAAATATGTAAACAAATACAAAATTTATTTTCTCTTGAACAATTAAAAACTATTTTGGGTAAAAAACAAGGACAAACTATATATGATATGTCACGAGGTATTGATATGAGAACATTATCAAAAGATTATTTACCTAAATCTATATCAATTGATATTAATTATGGTATAAGATTTCAAACATTTGATGAATTAACTTTATTTATTAAACAATTATCATTAGAATTACATAAACGTTTAAAACAAGCTAAACAAAAAGGAAAACAATTAACAGTTAAAATACGTGTTCGATCTCTAAATGCACCAATTGAACCAGAAAAATTTATGGGTTGTGGAAGAACAGATGATTCAAGTCGATTAATTAATCTTCATTCATATACTGATGATGTAACTACTATTGAATCAGAAACTATTAAATTATTAAAACAATTTCATTTCATTGTTGCAGATTTACGTGGAGTAAGAAAGAAAAAAAAAAATTTTTTTTCCTTTGTTTTCTCATTGATTAAACAAAAATGATTATCATTTAGATAGGTATAACAATAACACAATTACAGTCAACAACTAAAACTACTCATGGACAAGATATAAATGGTACCCGAACATTATTTGAATGTAATCAATTTCGAGTATCAAAACCAGCTATATCAATCGATAATGATGATACTAATCAAAATGCTGATCAACCAAGTGAAAGTTCTGTTACAAGAAAACGTCCTATACAACAAGAACAAACAACAACTATTGCAAGAAAGTAAGATCGAACAAAAATAACAAGCTTCTGTTAATAAATGATCAAGTATAGAAAAAAAAAAAACTCCACACAGTTTTCTCTAATCGAAAAGAACGAAAATCAACAAAAAGAAATTGTTATTGATTGTCATTTTTTTTTCAAAAATGTTTATAACTACATAGTGGACATGTTTTCAGACGGAACGAATACTTGCCTGCTATGATAATTTTGATATAAATTATAATTCAAATAACGAAATAAAATGATATAATAAATCAATTTGTTGTAAGAGAATGATCTTCATCATCAACTGATTGATTTAATTGTTCTAATACAACAACAAGTTTTATTTAACGAAATATATGGTGACATGACAGTTGAGCACCCGACAGTTGAGCCCCGACAGTTGAGCCTCCCGACAGTTGAGCCTCCCGACAGTTGAGCCTCCCGACAGTTGAGCCCCCCCGACAGTTGAGCCCCCGACAGTTGAGCCCCCATTAAACAGGAGATTAAAGAGTACAAGAAAATAATTTTTTTTGAATAAATTTTGGGAGGTGAATCGTGCAATGTTGTTGCACTATTTCTAATCTTTGATTTAAATTTCATTGGCTAGTGTTTCTTCGGTATTTGGTGCATGAATACGATCTGTGACTTAAACGTATTTTGTACCATCAAAGCACACACGACCTGCACAATTATTTCTACAGACACGCCAGATGCTTTGAGATTTATTGCCAAGGCGGTAACAAAACCCGTCAAGTACAAGTTAATCCTTGTTTTTTGGAGATTTTGCAAAAGACATTGTATAATAATAATAGAATAAGATAGAAGAGTAATGGAGAATAGATAAAAAAAGAAATATAATTCGAAAAACTTATTTGTTTTCGTAAAGATTATTGACTGAGCTATGAAAGTATTTAATAGCGATTCATCAATCTCATAGGAAGATGTGACTTGTATCTGTTCACTAATTTTGAGCCGAACAAAGTGATCGAATACTGACTTTGTTTCTTTCGTAATTAATCAATGAGGGCTCAACTGTCGGGGGCTCAACTGTCGTGAGGCTCAACTGTCGTGAGGCTCAACTGTCGTGAGGCTCAACTGTCGGGAGGCTCAACTGTCGGGAGGCTCAACTGTCGGGAGGCTCAACTGTCGGGGCTCAACTGTCGGGGCTCAACTGTCGGGTGCTCAACTGTCGGTGTACCGAAATATATATATATATAAGTTATACAAGTTGTCCAGAGAGTCACAGATCAAAAAGAAAATTATATATCTTCATTATGATTTAGTTGAATGAACTAGTTTTAGTACTAGTGATAGAGGACACAGGACTTTTTCAAACGTGTTAAAGATATGTTTATCAAGCAATTGAAATAGGCCTGAATGAATGGAATTGCACAATAATGAAACAAAGTATAAAAAGTTCAAGAAAAAAATACCCTACATATTAGTTTTTGTAACTCAAGAAAGTACTTTATTGTGTATTGAATCTGAAAATGTTTGTTTGGAGAAGTTTTTTGAAATCTTATATTTATGAATAAAACTTAGAAATGTTCTTTACCACTAGTACAAAAACTAGTTCATCAAACAGAACCATAATAGAAATATACAATTTTCTTTTTGGTTGATGATTTCCAGACATACTTTAAAACAAGTATCCATATACACTTGATTGAAAATATGACAAAAAAATTCTTCAGAAATATGAATACTCTAGAAGACACGCATGTCATGAACGATTAAGACATGAATGTGGATGAAATGCAGATCTACATTAACATTCAGTGCGTGCAATTGTCTCCTAGATCCATTTTCAAATATAAAAATTTAAAAAACTAATCTTTGTTTTTTTTTCAATTTGATTACAATTGGATATTTTTTTACCAGACATGTTTATTATTTATTTAGATTAACACGACATGATTGTTACACACCAGGACAAATTGATCCTGAAGTAATGAATGAACTTCCGACTCAAATTCGACAAGAACTTGAAGAATATTTAAAAAATCCTCCATCTCTTCCCGAATCAAATTTAGATTCCGATCGAAATGAAATAGCTGAAAAATCTTTTTCACAAGTTATGGAACATATCGATGAATCTGTTCTTAATGAACTTCCACCAGAAATGCGTCGTGAAATAACAATTGCAAAACAATTACGAAAAATTGAATCAAAATATCCACCTATAGGTGGTAAACGACTTGTACCTATAACTAATCCATCAAATTCAACAACTAAAGATAAGAGTAATGCATTTAATGTCATTATGAATTCTCCTCAAAAACAACCTGTTACAAAAAAAATTTCAAATCCAATTAAAAAATGGCGTACAGAAACTATTCTTCAGGAAGAATTAAATAATCCTATAACTTCTAATGTACAAAAATTTAATCAGTATGAAACAACAAAACATAAACAACCAAGCATAGCTGGTTGTACATCATTAAGTGATGTTAAATTAATGTTACGTGAATGGATTGAATCAAGTGATGAACCAAATGAAATAGATCTCGATCTATTTCAGAATTATTTAATAGATTTATTAAATTTTCATAATGCTGAAATGGTTCATCAATTATTAATTTATAGTTTATTACAATTAAAAACTGTAACAAAAAATAATTGGAATGAAAAATTTCATAATCTAATTAATACTGTACAAAAACATTTTGGTCATATGTATGGCGGTGCAACAATGGATCTTTCATAAAAAAAAAAGAGAACAATAATAATATAGTTATATGTATTTTCTTCTATTTTTGTGCTATTTTTTTTTTTTTTCGTATAAATAAATAATTAAATCTCTGCATGTGAGAATATAATATATAAATATAAAATATTGATTTTTGTTTTTGTTTTTATTTATATTTTAATAGAAAAATGAAGCTCAAAGAATTAGAGTCTCATTTAAGTAATGTTGAAAATTTCTCCAATGCTAAAGAATATCTTGAACAATATATGACAACACCACATCTTGGTAATATGAAGAAAAAAAAAACAATTCAGTTATTTATCTTTCTTATGTATTTCTGTTTTGTCTTATTTAGCTGCTCGAATGATTTATACAGCTCAAACTCAATATGATGATATTGAAAATCATTTATTAATTGATTTAGGTATTGGTACTGGAATGTTATCAATAGCATCATGTCTTCTTAATGCTGATCATGTATTTGGATTTGATTGTGATACTGATGCATTAGAATTATGTCAATCAAATATAAAGGAATTTGAACTTGAATCTAATATTGATTTAATTCAAGCTGATTTACGACGCATTCGTTTACCTGTAGATTTAAATCGTATTATAGCAGATACAGTTATTATGAATCCACCATTTGGTACAAAACCATTTTCAAGTTCAACAGAAGATAAAGATGAATTATGTTTAACTGGTATTGATATGCATTTTTTACAATATGCAAGACAATTAGCAAGACATTCAATTTATAGTTTACATAAAACAAGTACAAGAGATCATATTTATAAAAAAGCTAAAGATTGGAATATGAATATGGATGTATTAGCTGTTTTACAATTTGATATTCCAAAATTAGAAAAAAAAAGATCAAATCGTAAAATATCAACAGCTAGTAATGCACCATTAAAATCTATTGAAGTTGATTTTATTCGTTTTGAAATAAAAGATAATGCTGATGATTGAAATAAAAAAAAAAAGCTTTTTTTTCTGATGTTGTTAAATATATTTACTGTTGAGATAAATTTAAGCAACAAAAAATAAATAGAGATGCCACTCGATATCAGTAGAAAAAGATGTCTTGTTATTGTACAGTGATTATTGGATAAAAACCAAATGATATCATAATATATCGTCCATATTTATCCGCATAATACTCAAGCATCAATTCACTCATGTTTGTTGTGGACATATGTGTAAAGAAACGTAGGATGAAGGATATATTTCTATCATTGCTTCTGTTCTTTTCCTCTTTTTTTACTACTTATTATGTGGCGAAGAATATGGAAGAAGAAGAAAAAATAGATATATACAATCCTCCTACATAACTCGTCCATTTCTTTGTCGGTTTGCTGAATTAACAGGGAGTTAGTTCGCTTGACTCGTTGTATATCTATGTCAAACGCCGTTGTCGTTTATATCCGTTTGTTCGATTGATAAAGCAAGAAAAAAAAAATACCAACTATTTTGGATATCAACATTTTTAGATATTTTCTTACTAGCATTTTTGTTGTCTAGCATGAATCCACCTATCACGATTCGTCTTGAACGTGAAGCAACTGATCGACCATGGGGTTTTCGTCTTCAAGGTTAGATTTTAGCTTTTCTTTCTTAAATTTTACTATTCATTGTTTCGTTTGTTTCTATTTAGGTGGCAGTGATTTTTCTATACCGTTATCGATCCAACTGGTAAGTATATATAGAAAAGTCAAGGAAAAGATTTTTATCTTGGTTTTCTTTTTCTTATTATTGATGTCCTTTTTTTTCTTATCCAAGGTTAATCCGGACACGCCTGCTCATGCAAATGGTTTAAGTGCTGGTGATCAAGTTATCTCAATCAATGGTCGAAATGTAACCCATATTAGTCATCAAGAAGCTAAAATGGAAATAACACGTTCTGGTAATGAATTGGAATTAACTGTTATCAAGTAAGAATACGAATCATTAATGTAGGATGATACTTAGTTTTCTTTTCTTTATTTTTATTTTAGAGGAGCTGTTAATCAACAATCTATGCCAACACCTCAACCTATATCTCAATTACGAACAGGTGCTGTACATCAAATGCCTACACCACAAGCTGTTAAACCTAGTTTTGCAACACCAAGTCAGGTAGAAGTTCTATGAGAAATTGTAAATTAGTTTATATTATTCTTTTGTTTTTTCTAATAAATTTCTAGCCTCAAACGCATATTGGCAGTAGTCATAATCGGGCAGCAATGCCATTTGATGCTCGAGTTGGAAATGAAATGACATATCAAGCAGCCAAACCAACCAATTGGCAACCGGGTATGATTATATTAAATTTTGGATAAGAAATATTTTCTTATAAATTCATTTTAGGAGATTATACAAAAGAAGAGCCTGAACATTTACGCCCTAAACTTAGTAAGAATTTTTTCTTTATTATTTTTTGTCTATAAACTTTTCTTCTATAGCTAATTTTGAATCTTCACCGGCTTATAATAAAGATCCACTTCGTAAGTAAATCGATGATTTTATTTTGTATTATTAAGATGAATTTCTTTTTCTTTTATTAGAACGTGAAATTTGGAGACCAAAAGCCTATCGTGACAATCCTCAAGCACCAGCTCGTAATGTTGGTACAGCTGTTTATCATGCTCAGTATAATTCTCCAATAGGACTTTATAGTGATGATAAAGTTTTAGAAGCATTTAAATCTCAAGCAGGCAGTTTAATTGATGATATTAAAGGGTATTGTACTTTAAAAATAATTTTTCTTTTTTACTATACAATTCTTTTTGTATTTTTTTTAAAGAGCTAATTCAAATAATAGTTCTGCTCAATCATCAAATATGTATAATCCTGAACAACAAAATCAACCATCACCAACATATCAAGTTTTAATGAATCCTCAACAACAAAATATTCCTTATTCATCTGAATCGAAAATTTCTCGATCATTTCGTGCACTTGAAGAAGATCTTAGTTCTGTACAAGGAACATCACGGGCACCGAAATCTATTTTTGATCAACGTCGTCAACAACAACAACAACAACAACAACAACAACAACAACCTACTGGATTTCGTAGTGTTAGACCACCTGAAGAAGTTCCACCTGAACAACAACGACGCCCTTATCATACTGAATATCAAGTTGAACATGTTCAACAAAAATGGATGGAACCAAAAAAATAAGTAATTGAATTCTTATCGACGATAAATTTTATCGTAAAATCCTTTTTTTTTATCATTGTACTCTTATTGGTGTGCAATAGAACTTTCTTCAGTTTGCTCAGTTGTCAAAGCGTTGAATTATTTCATCTTTTTTTGCTTCTTTTTTTTTTGACTCCTCTTTATATTAATCTTTCTCCATCAACAGTGATGAACACATGGTGCTTTATAAAACAAAAAACAAACAATGAAGTTAATTTTCACCATCGACTTGATTCTTTTTTTTTTCTCTCTTAGTTTTTTAACCCTTTTTTTTTTCTTTTTCTCCTCGTCGAATAATGTGAATTTCGTTCAAACGAAAAGAAAAACATTATTTATTTCAATTTTTTTTTACCTATTAAGTATCCAAGTTACATAATGTAGCATTTGTATTGTTCAATTTTTTAAACTCTTTTTTATTAATTGCCCACCATCGAATGTGTGTGTTAATTAAATAAATATCGAAAAAAAAGCAATTGACAGATAAAAAATCTACATAAGTAATAGCACGTGTCTATCGTTTACTAGTGATCAGTAAACAGTAAACTTTGGTCATTGTTGACATAGCTGAGTGTGTTTTAAATCAATGTTTGCATTTTGCACAAACAAAAAGTTGCCATTTCGAACATCGAAATTTTTGCTTTTTTGCTTTATTTCAAACGCAAGAAAAAAAGAAAAAGCTGACAACTCTGTAGCGAAAGTAAAAGATTTCATTATTCTGTCTTGTTAACTATCATAAATCATGAGTTATGGGTACATATCTATATGCATTAATTTCTTTTTTGATATTTATTATACAAAATTAATCTTTAGTTATGGACAACAACAACAACAAAAACAACAACCAAGAAAAATGCGAGAAAAAATTTGGTCTTACGAAGAGGATTGGCAAAGAGATATTTGTGGTTGTTGTAATGATGTAGGTTCATGTATGTTGATTTAATATAAAAATCTTCATTTTAAATAAAGAGTCTTCTGTTTTTTTTTTTGTTTTAAAGGTTGTTGTGCATATTTCTGTTGTCCATGTTTTTGCTGTCAAGTATTTAGTCGAGCTGGTGAATGTATGTGTACACCATTTTTGTGTTGTTGGCCTGATGCTTTAATGTCGCTGCGTATCAAAATTCGCACTGGATTTCGGTTACAAGTAAAAAAACAAAAACAAAATTTTTTTTTTTAAATATACATTTCGTCTATCTTTTTAAGGGTTCCATATTTAAAGATTGTTTGGCTGCTATATGCTGTCCATGTTGTCTATTACTTCAAATCAATAGTGAACTCGAATACCAAGGCTTATAATAAATATGTAAAATTACAAAGACATGAATAATAATAATAATAATGATAATGATAAACACACCGGAAGGATAAAAAAAAACTGATAAATAAACTAAAAACTAAGTTTTAGTTTTTCTAGTCACAATCATCTTCATTTATTATTCGCGGCATACAGTATTGTCCTCGATTTGTTGTTTTCAATTTATATCCTCGATTACATACACATCGTCCAAAAACTGTACAATGAGAATTTTTATCCATACTAGCACATTGCCGATTAAGTAAACAACGAGCACGAAATGTATTTTGCATATTCGGATATGTTGAACGAATTGTTGGTGTTGGTGACCATGGCCACCAACGAAATACAGTTGTTGTCAAGAATGTTGTTGTTGTAGTTGTTGATACTGTTGTTGTTGTTGTTGTTATGATAGATGTTGTTTCAATTAGTTCTTCATTAGATGATTCTAGAATGAAGAAAATTTTAGTGAGATTAAGAAAAACAAAAACAAAAAATAAATTTTATCTATTACCCGATTCTTCTAAACATGTCCAATCATCCACAGGAAAATATCCTTTTGGGCATGCACAAATAGAATATAAACAAATTGCATTTGGCGTATGACAATTACGTTTGGTTAAACATTTTCCTCCTAATAGACTTTTATAATCAACTGGTATTGGTGTCGATTTTATTGTTGTATCTCTATTCATATCTATTGAAATTTAATATATATATTCATTAAACCAAAATAGATTTCATAATTACCTATCATACAAGTATATTGATCAATTGGTATATAACCATCGACACATGCACATTTTCCATTATAACAGTGAGAGTAAGATACAGTTCGTCGACAAAAATAATCATTTATACAAGTATTACCAATTTTTCCTAATGATTTAATCACTTCATTATTTGTTAGATGCTGTATTGATGTTGTACTAAATAGAGTCGGTATTCCAGTTGAAGTTCCTATAGTCGATATGCCTGAAAATATATTCTACTCATTGTATAAGTATCTTTGAAATCTATTACCTTGTCGACGAGTATTGTAACATAAATATGTTCCTAAAGGTACATAACCTTCTAAACATACACATACTCCTTGAATACATTCGAGATGAAAACTAATCTGTTGACAATCAATATTTGTTGAACACATTGAACCATATCCAGATGGTGTATTTTGATATGACTTTGTAACTCGTATATTTAACGGTAATAATACTAATTATATAGAAAAACTTTTGAATAATTAATTTCAAATACAATGAAACTAACCAAAATCTCGTATACATCGATAAGCATCAATAGGTATATAACCACGTGAACATTGACACTTATGAGCTAAACATACTTTTGTGTTGTCAATCGGCATTTGACGACATTGATTACTCCAGTCACATTCTTCACCCAACATTCTCATACCTATATTTTCTTAAACATTTGAAATAAAAAGAAAAAGTTGAACTTCAAATATTTTTACCATAATTAATTTGTCGACGATAACGTAATTCATTTCTTTCTATTACACATCCATCTAATTTATATCCCAATTGGCATATACATTTCTTATTAGAACATATTGAATTAGCCAAACGATTAGTACAATTCATGTTTGTTTCACATTCATAATCAAGAATATTTTCATATTGACCAGTTGTAGTCAAAATACAATGAATTATTAATACTAAACTGAACCACATTTTCAATCTTCAAGATGAACTAAATGTTAAAATGAAATATAGTTCATTCGTTTTTTTTTTGTCGTTAATGATACAAAACCATCATCCTTGAAATTCAAGTTCATTTTTGTGTCTGTCGTTTTTTTTTTTACACCAGGTGCTTAATCTTTCTTTCAAGGCCTATCGACAAATGCTTGAACAAAGTTCAACATATTTATTGTATCCATGTAACATCGCCGTCGAAGATCAATAGAATGACACAAAAGAAAAGAAACATTTACTTAAATAAATCAAAATCATCATTATCATATGAAAGTAGTTAAACTGAACGTTATGAAGTTTGAACAATGAACAAAATTAAAGTAGATTTTAAATTTTTAAATAATAGAAAACTTTCTTTTCATAATCTTTATTATTAAAAGAAGATTTTTTAACTTTCTTGAAAACAGAAATATATGCCATTATGTCAAATATTCATAAATAATTATCTCATTCGAAGAAAACAGAAGTGATTCTTAACTCACCAACTTATAATCGTCAACTATTACTAATGTAAAAACTAAAATCGATTACAAAATCAATATATAAAATAAATAATGACAGAAATTGGTTTTCAATTGTACAAGAAAAAAAAACCTAAAATTTTAAAATATTCGCTGTTTGAAATTTTATTTGACTAAAATGAAGTGTAGGAAAGTTAAAAAATAAAAAATTATCATGTGAAAAAGTATGAGTGAACCATAAGAAGTTATGGAATTACAGTTTTGTGTTCTCCGATATTAGTTATATTTATATATTTCAATCGAGCAGCAAAAAAATATATTATTGAAAGTATTGTAAAATTTTCGACATTTCTAGATGCAATGAGGCTATTTTCTTAAGTTGATTGGTTTAGTTCAATTGAGTTGCCCGTTTTATGCTTAGTAAATACGGAAAAACATTTCGTCTATTTATTCTTCTCTATGGATATCTATAGTTTATTATAATTTAATCAATCACTACTGTTCTATAGAAAATGCATTATTAGTTTCTCTTCATATATAGTTTTAATAATTCCAATAAAAAAGAATAATATAAGATATTATGATGCTTCCCACAAAGCTTTATTTTTCAGGAATAGAATATGCTTCTTCTGCTTATGTCCAATCGAATCCTAAAAAAAAAACGTTGAGAATCTCTGAAGCATATATCGTTTGTTGATACAAATCATAGATATAATTCAGATGTTCCATATTCGAACTATGCTTGATATATTGTTTCTATAGATCAATATTTCAATCTTTTATTTAGCATTTACTCTTGAGTAGTTGAAATTCTATCACGAACTGCTGAACTAATAGATATGTCCGAGGCAAAATTAAATTTATACAAAGTTCGTTTTCAATCCTTTGACGATGGACTTGTTTTTCCAACAAACAAAAAAAGTAAGACTCTTTGCTAATATGGTAGACTTTAACAATGATTAGTTATCATAGTTCTTATACATTAGCTTGATTTTAAAATGCAATGCTATTACCAGTGGTATCTATTTATCTATTTAAAACAATTGTTCTCTATTCAGACATTGAAAACGTAAATTTAGGGGTTACACCGTCAAAGAGTTTATTAAGTGAAAAACTATGAGATTATTTTATTGTATTTAAAAACAAAATTGAAGTTGTCATTTGCATTAACAAAACATGGCACATACTTCTTTTTTTTTCTAACTAGACATGGTAGTCATTTTTAAGAATTCATATTTTAATGTATACACCAATGAATTTTGCTTCGTCGACATTGATAAACGATTTTCAAAATCAATTCTATGAACAAAACGAATTAACATTTTAAATTTTTGAACAATTAAATTCTGAGACACAAGGCAGTTTTTGTTCTATCATCAAAAAACACATAAGCCAAAAATAGTTTTTATTCTTTTTATTGGAACATAATTGACAACTTAGCATCATAATATATTCTCCCTTTACATATAGATGTATGGACCACATTTAAGTCGAAAATAAATAATTATCGATAAAAAAAAAAATACTACTCCAAAAGCATTAGCTTAAAGATCTTTGCCTTCTTTTTGGCTCGAAGCTTGCTAAGATACATTAGATTTCAATTGACATGATCCACGAATTCTGCTAATTTCTAGACTAAACTAGGCTTCAATTAAAGTTGAACATAATAATAATCATAATTGATATGAGAATTTAGTTAAGTTTAGAATACAGGAATTAATTTTAAAAAATTCTCTTAAAAATGACAACTATAATACGAATTAGTTATATTAATTAAACAAGATGAATTCACTAATTTAGAAAAAAAAGTTCACAAAATAAAGCGCACTAAACACAATTTATATAAAAATTCTAATATGTTGTTTTTTTGTTAGTGATAGCAAAACAAAAACAAACGATTATAATGTATACATTTCAATTTCTTCCATTGTTCAGTTTCAGTTCCTGTTACATAGAAATAGATTTTAACTGTGTTCCTGTTTTGAAGCCATTTTAGGCTTCTTTTATCTGTTTGCTTTAGTTTAAGCCGATTTTGATTGTTTTTCTTTATTTGATAAAACTTGTCATTTTTTTTTCGTTTCCGTTTTGATAATAATGATGTGAACAGTAAAGCCAACAGAAATAAAAAGTGAATTGGTATATTATGAAAAGATCTGATCCAAAGTTTCTCAAGAACGACTATGCGTCTTATGCTATTGACTAGACTATTATTTAGATAAAGAATTTAACAATTTCATTGATTCTTATAATCATTCATTACGTTCTAATATCATAATTATGAAGTGTAAATGCAATGTAATGTACCATTCTTTTTAAAAGTCGCCAACGACAACTTCCTGCTCATATAAATAAATACTTTAGAGAAAAAAACAGTTTTTCAAAAACTTTCATCATTTATTCAATGTTCTCATGTTCAGATAATAAACAAAATATATCCAAAAATATTAAGTCGATATAAAAAAAAATAATTTATTTTCATTTATTATCTATCAAAATATAAATTTCTATTCAACAAAATAAATATAATGAATTTATTATTGTTTATATATAGAATAGCAATTCTAAACTTAATTCCTATCTTTTTCGTTTTATTTTTATTCTTGAAAATTTTTCTTTAATTTTTTCTCTAAACCTCAGTATTCACTTACACATATATATTTCTTTTCTCGATTTTCTTCTTGCTAACTTTGACTTCATGAATATCTACTAGTAGTTTCAACATATCTTACGTTGCATGTTATTCATTCCATTGAAAACAATAACATTATCATCATTATAACCAACTCATGAACATTAATATTGAAACTATTATATCGATACAATAATAATGATCTTTACGTTCTCCAGTATCGTGAAAAAAAATGAAGGGTACTTTCTTATAAGTTTATAATGATATATAAGTTCCCGTTTCTCAAAAGAAACGTGAGTAGGCCGAATTCGACGGCACTGCAGTGTCGAGTCGATCAGTGGCACGGTTTCATTATTCTCAAGTGATCTCGGCCATGTGCCAAAAACCCGTTCGAAAGAGTCTGACTTTTTTTAGCCAGTGCCGGCTTTCAAACCGATGAGAATAGATACTTCACTTTGATCTTAGCCTAAGAAGGTCGTAAAGCGTTAATCTGATACGGAAATTGGGTAGTTTATATAAATTTTGTCTTTACATATTTAACATACATTCACTAAGTAAAAAGATAGCACTTTCGCAATTAAGTTGATTATTGCACAATATTTGCCTGCATTGAAAATATATAATACTAGCAAGAATCCGTGCATACTGCACGACAACTTTTTTTTCTTTAACGTATTACTTCAAATCTTTACTCTTTTAATCGGTTACAAACACACACACAGACACTCGACATTATGTACATAGAAGCCTGACGGCATGATATCCTTATATGGTTAATAGCCAATGTAGCCTTACAATCTTATATTTCTTGTAACCTTCCTTCCTTAGTCTTACCTCCTTATAGCGTTCCCCCATTAGTCCTTTCTCTTAGTGCCTTCCCTCCTGATAGTCTCATCCCATTATATGTCCTTATTGGGTTACTCCTTTACAGCCTTACTCGCTTATAGCCTTCTTTGACCTTTCAACCGGTATAGACAGAGACACACTGAACATTATATATATGGGTGATTCGACTTTGATTGATCGAAAATATTTGTCGCTACACTTTTTTTTCAAACGATAGATAAATAATAAGTGTAAGTCTTCTTTGTTGAACCATACCAAAAACATTTTCCTTCTTAGTATATTCATTTTATTTTATCTAATCCCCATGATCGAAGTATATTTTATCTTTTCGTACTATTAGCTTTTATTGACACAAGTTGTAACAAAAATAATATTTACAATAAAGGAAAATATTGATGAAAATTTTCTGGAGAAACAAACGGCTCCTGTATATTAAGACTGGTCAATTTACCACAAGTGAGGCGTGTTGCATCATTGGTGAAATTGTTTGTGACCAGTGCAAGTATTTCATAGCCGATATTAAGGTTCAGCAAACAAGGTAAATGACAATGTTTATCGATGAGAAATTGTTCAGCATAATCTATATGAGCCCAATGAAGGTTGAGAAAAATAAGATGAGAAAATATGATTAATGTTATCGATTGTTGCTTGTTTTTCTGCTGTTTGTCATTAAATATATGCAATTCTTTCAATAGAGGAAAACTTTGAGAGATAACTTTGAAGAATTGATGCTCAAAAGGGCGTAAGTCCGTCATCAACAAGGATTGAACATTAGCAAAGATGCCACCTTGAAAAGAATTACTTAAATAAAAAAAACTTTTGAATTGATATGGAAGTGAATAGATGTGGCATCTACTGTTGAACTCGTATGGAAGTGAATATGTGTGGCCTCTACTTTCGTTTACTCTTGAGAAAGTTTCAACGTGTGAATCAACTTGTCCATATCCTCTTCCAATGAAACTACGCTGAATATCTTCATTCGATGAAAGAGCAATTTCAATATTGTTCTTCATTACACTTATGTCTATATTGAAAGTAAATTTATTTAATCGTGGCATATAAATAAGAATATCGTCATATAATTGTATACCATCAATATAATTTCTGTCCACTCTTATTATTGACAGAAATAATATCAATTCCTCCAGATTTATCATTCGTCGAAGTAATGGGATAATCCGATTATCATAGACAACTGTGCGTGGATACGAGGTTAATGAGAAGTGCTTCAATTTGAGAAGCTTTTTCTATGAAAAAAATGAAACGAAGTATTTTTTTCTATCGAATGACAATAGTTGACATTATACTAACCGTATTATCTATAGTTTCTAATGTATATGCAATTTCATCCACATGTATAATCAATGTTGATAAACAATTGAGACGTTCGTCAAGTAGATAAAGACAATCATCGAAAGTTTTCACATGAATTTTCAATGTAGTCAAACTTGAAGACTTGCAATTAGTTGAGAAGTCAAAACGACAAATTGTTGATCGATGATCGAATTGGCAGAAATCTAACTTGATTAGTTGTTTACATAAAGATAAAATCAAAGCAAACACAGTCGAAACAGTTTCAGGAAGTGGTGGTGATGTTGTATTATCCTTAACATCAATTTGAAGACATGTAATTTGTTCAGTAAGAAGCTTGCAAAGAATTTGATTACCTTCAGTTCAGACAAAAAAAAAGTAAAATGAATTATTAACTTATGTCTAATGATTTCACTATTGTTTTAATTAGAAACAAAAAAAGTAAAAGTTTACCTGTTAAGTATTTGAGAAGTACATCTTCTTGAAAATCTATAAGTGATAACGAGTAAAGTTGAGAATAATTGATAGTAAGAAGAACACGTTCCATTGAATGTTGGTCAACAATGAGTTCATTTACTTGATGATGAATTCGAGGTAAAATATTTTTACAAATTCTATCAAGAACTTGATTGTCTATTGAGTAGATACAATTATAAAATGATTTCATCGTCATAGAGATCATATCAAGATTACAAATATAAACTGGGTCAAGTACTAATTGATCAAACCGTTGAGTAACATCTACAAGTGAATAGAGAACATCAACCATATTTAGTTTGTTAAAAATCATGAATAATATTTCATTGGGTAAATCCAGTATATGGAGATGATTTTTGTTCGAAACGTTCATGTCTAATTCATTTGAGTTCAATCGTGTTCATTTATATATATGTCGTATCAAAGTTACACCGGTCGACAAAGTTATAACTTTGACAAAAATTTCGTCAAAGTTACAATTTGTACATTTTATCTTAAATTAACTATTAAATTGAATATATTATTTCATTTTATCTATGATCATAACTAAGCTTTTGGTAATAAATATATATTTTTATTTAACAAGCTTGTTAAATAAAAATATATATNTCAAACTATTAATGAATTGCTATATAATTTTCCTTTAATTTTATTCAATTTGGATTTACCATCAATAAGTAAGGGATAAATTGTATTTAAATAAAATTCTCTTGCACAATCATTTTTTGAATTACAACCATATATTCGAGTTACTTCATTTGGCTGAAGTTGCGTTTTAGTAAGATCTAACCTTATTTCTTGAATAAGAAATTCACCTGGTTTGTTATCTTCGAATATATTTGTATCATTAATAGTTTGAAATTGAATAGAAATTTCTTCATAATCATAATTGATACGATATTTAATAGTACAGGCTAATGCATGATCATAAATATTTGTTATATTATAATTATTTTGACATTCTGGAGGAAATGTTAACGGTTCAGAAAATGAAATGGTGATTTCTGGGCAATGTGATGTACAAAGAATACTGTTGTCATTGTTAATAGCGAAAGAATTTTTCACCAAGATGCATGACAAAAAGATTAGACAGTAGAAAAACCGCATGCTGATTGCTATCGATCAATGAATGAATGGTGGAAGAGACTATGTGCGTGTTTAGCTTATCTTCTCACTTGACGAAACTATGTCTGCATCCCATCGAATGAAAAAAGAGCGGAAGCAGAAGAAAAAATAGCGCGCTCGCAGACACACAAACCAGTTCTCGTTCTTAACGACCTTTAGGTATAGCTGTATCCTCTGGAGAAAAACAGAGAGAGCTTGGAAATAATAGAAGGAAAATCACCTAGTAAAAAGGACATCTAGAATAAGACGAAGAAAAAAAGAACTCAATGTACAAATGTCGAGTTGATCAAAGTAGATACCAAAATAATCTTCGAAAAAGAATTCTCTGAAATAACTCTATTTTTCGATGATAACAAATAGCAGACGAGCAGAATCGATAGAACGAGAGAAAAAAAAAACAGACGAAAAAAATCAATTACTTAGAGACTAAACATAGATCAATATGTTTCCCTTTCTTTCTTTCTTTTTCCATGAATAGGAAAACAAAATAAAAACAATGATTGACACATGTCATATTTTGGTGACAATAATATAGACACACTAGTGGAAATTGAAGCTATTTTGTACATTAAACAAATATTGTCCTTGAGGGTTATGTCCTGTCAATAAACATATACGGGTCATTGGAGTAAAGAATAAACAGGACACTTACTTGTTTACACTCACACAAAGACAAAAAAATAATATCTTATTCCACTATCGGTTATTATTTTATAATTCTAATGTAATGCAAATGATGATGTGCTTATTCTTAATCTATTATTAAGATTAGAATATTGAATATGATCCTTTTTTAAAAGTTCTTGTTGAGAATAGTGCCTCGATGTTAGATCAATGGTAAATGATATGATTAAAAAAAAAGTGATAATGTGTTAATTAACTAAGATCATGATACTACGAACAGCAAAAGAAAACAAGATGTATGTTTAGGGACCTTCAATGGTTTCCTGTAGTGTTTGATAAATGTCAAAATTCAATGCCATTTATATCCTATTTTTTCGATAATCGACTAAGTTAAGCATTACTTAGGATATTTTCGATAACATATCTTGATTGATGTCCATCTTTCAATGTTTATATTCAGAAAAGCCTCGATAATACTTTAGTATTATTACTTCTCGTGTGTCATTAATAATAAAAAAACGCATATATAATCTCCTGTCTATGCATTTATACCCGGAAGGGCTTAGAGTCGTGTAAAGAAAAGAACAATAGAAGAATTTTCATAAAAAGAAAAAAAGAAAAATTAATATTAATTTTTTGTTCTTTGTTATTGTATAGATCGATTATTGAATTATATTCCCAATGTACAATTTTTAAGTATTCGTCTATATACAGACTTACAAAATTTTTCAAAATATTCATCAATAATAAGTTCTCATTCAATAAATTCAAATGTTCGTTCATTAGAAATTTCAACAATAAATAATATTCCATTTAATCAAGTTGAAGATCTTTTTAAAAAAACATTTAAACGTTTAGAAATTTTAAAGTTTTTTTTTAAAACTGATGCATTAAGTCAATCATGCCTTGATTATATTGATGATAAACGATGGGAATATTTACTTCAAGGATTTTTATCATTAAAAGATTTTCATTGTTGTATTGAAATACCAATACAATCAGAAATCGTATCAAATTCATTTGAACAAAATCAATTTTTTCGTAAACATAATTGGAAATTTTCTTTTCAAACTTATACATATTCATTTAATACAATGTTACGTATGCATACTGAACTCTATCCGAAACGACGTCTTGATATTATGTAAGTGATTTTTTTTCTTCTTCTTGTTTAATTTTTTTTTTTTTTCTTCTTATTCTAGTCCTTCAAAAATATTTGCCGATAGTAATAATAATAACAACATTTATTTGCGTGTACGGGATCTTCGTATATTAATTGATTCTATCGGAATAAGTATCGTTAATAATTTATCAAGAAGTACCTTCAAAAATGTCATATCATTAACACTTATATCAAATAAAACATTTAATGAACAAACATTTCTTATTTATTTATATTCAATAATTAATCGAAATAATATTCGTTATGTAACAATACAATTAGATAATTGTTCAAGAAATTTTCTTTTAAATCTTATTGAAAATTTTTCTAATCTTTATTCATTAATAATATCAACATATCAAAGTTGGTCAAAAT